AGTTACATGCATGGCTGCGGATCTTTGGTTGGCAGAGGTACCTTGTCATTCCATTGGTTGATAGAAGTAGAGACCTCTTTTTGGTAGAAACGAGCTTTATTAAGAGATTCTYGCCAGCGCTCAATACGCAAGGAATGGGGAGGGAGAGGTTGCCGGGAAGAAAGAAGAGGGCCGGGAAGAGGGAGAGAGGGAAGAGGCAACCGAATCCTCTTAGTAATGTGATCATCAAGTTCAATGRCAAGGTTTCAATTATCGATCTTCTTCGAGACATGTCCCTGGACGTAGGCCCGCAGATGCTTACGGTAACAAGGGGGAGCGTATGGATAGATGGATGGAAGGTTGTGAGGAAGAAATTTGGAGAAACGACGATCCGGGTTGATGGCGCTGAGAGAAGTCTGAAGGATTGTAAGGAGGTACTTCAGAAAGGAGGAAGATTTCGGGTTGGGAAGATTAGGATTGTACCTTCGAGCGTCATACACAAGAGAAACATCTTGAGAGACACGCTTAAACAGCCCTGGAGGATTCGCGGTTTGTATAAGAAGAGCTCGAAGGAGCTCATTGCGCTGTACCGCACCGCCATGACCTTTTCCAGGAAAGAGAGTAGGAACCGCACCAAGAATATTGTTGCCAAGATCGTTAGGAACAAATACGGGCACAACATCAGACGGAAACCGTACGTGAAGGTTCCGTTTTCTCCCCAGGTAAAGAAAGGAGTCGTGAGGGTGGTAGCAGCAGAGGTAATCATGCGATCGGTCGCAGATCCAGACCTTGCRAGGTYCACAGCAAGCAGGGTACGGGTAGTCGAGAGAAAGAGCACGTCCGTTGGTATGGTTATTCACAACCATTGGGAGTGTGCGAAGAAGTCCTCGGTAGAGTGCACGTGTGAGCATTTTCAGTTACCCAGGAGTGAGGGCCATGTCAGAGTTAGACTTAGTGAAGTCGAAGGAGTTTCGTTGTTTTTATGGAATTCAAAGAATGTTACGTGCGGAAAACGGAACTCGCCTGAATTTCTCAGTACGTGTATACTAGAGGGAGTGAAAGATTGGGTGAGAGGCAAAGGGTGTGAGATTCCACGCGATACCTTGATTGGTTGTTTGGACGGAGAAATCCGAGGGAGGAGCGCCGCCATGTATGTCGATGAAGTGAGAGCCCATTTCCAAGGGTTTGGCGGCCTTGTGGCAGTACCAATCGACAGGAACCCAGGCGCCACACTCGTTTTATGCCCAGTGTTGTATTTTCGTGCTTGCCGTCGGACGTTCAATTTGAGCAACAGCTTCCGGGTGGTTCGGGAGGAGGAAGCAGATCTCATGTCCACAATGAAGAAGGAATTTGTGCATCAAGGTCTGATGAAGGTTGGGAGATGGCAGACCGGAGGTAAGATTGGCCAGGCCTACGTCTTGCCCAAGGATAAGGATCTATGCCGATAGAGACCCATTTCTCCCTGCACTTTCGATCCGACGAGGCTTGCCGGAGCASGAGTAGGAAGGGCGATCCGTTACATGTTGTTTAACATTCCRAAAYCGCASCATTTTGATCTCAAGTCTTCAGAYARTCTGGGGGGCAGGATCAAARAGATTCAGCGGGACATCGAYAACAATGGAGATTACGTTATGGCACGAAGCTACGATATTAAGGACATGTTCGCGAGATTATCTCACGAGAGCGTGATGGAAGCCGTGTGYTGSCTCACCAGATACCATSAGAATAAAGGATTGATTGGCGTGAAGGTAAGCACKAGGGGTAAGATGTGTTCTATGATAAAGAGCTGGAGGAAAGAAGATGGGTTCATCCTTCTGACGTTCGGGGATATCAGACGGGAAGTTGAGTTCGAACTGAATCACTCCTTTGTATGTTGTACAGGGGAAGTTTTGAAGCAGGGAGTCGGGATTCCAATGGGCCGCAACTCGAGCCCAGCGCTTGCATGTATAGTGTGCACAAAAGCAGAATTTGAAGTTCTCAATCAGGTGAAGTGTTCCCGAGTGGTCATCCGTGGCTTGAGGATGATTGATGATGTCGCAGTATTTGTTGGATGTAGGAAGCTCAGACYCGAGTCCTTTGCCACTGCAGCGAGGGTCTTGGACGACTTTGAGAGTTGCTATGATGAGAATATTAAACTTGTACGGAAAGATGCAGGAGGCAACGTGTTTGACTTTCTTGGTACATGCGTGTTTGSAGGGGTCGAACCAGTCGTGATCGACGTACACCCCCGGACACGGAATCAGGAAGGATTGATTCGAGAAGGGAGATTGAAAGTTCAGTCGATGCAGGATTTCGCCTCGTTCTCTAGGAAAGCAGCGAAAAAAGCCGTATTATTCGCTACCTTGGTACGGATGAGAAGGATCTCTACGTCGGATGAAGCAATGAAAGCCGCGATCGATGCATTGATGGTTGAAGCTTGCCTCCGGAGTTACCCTCCGGAGGTCTCTCTCGGGGCTTTGGCTCGGTTTGCCAAGTTGCCCGGAGGTCCGTGGAGGGTTTACCTCCCC